CTTTCCTCTTCACAGTCATCCAGCCACTCGTCCCCAAGCCCATAGCGCTGCATGGGGTTGTTGTGGCCAAAATGCAGGACCTGGCACTTGGCCTTGTTGAACCTCATCCCATTCATCTCAGCCCAGCGATCCAGCTTATCTACATTCCTCTAAAGGGCCTTCCTACCCTCAGGCAGATCAACACCACCTCCCAACTTGGTGTCATCTGCAAACTTACTGAGGGTACACTCAATCCCCTCGTCTAGGTCATCAATAAAGATATTAAACAAGATGGGTCCCAGTACCGACCCCTGGGGGCACCACTTGAAATGGGTCACCAGCTGGACTTAGTTCCACTAACCACTACCTGTTGGTCACGACCCTCTAGCCAGTTCCTTACCCGAAGAAGGGTATACCTGTCCAGGCCATGGGCAGCCAGTTTCCCCAGGAGAATACTGTGAGAGACCGTGTCAAAGGCTTTGCTGAAGTCTAGGTGGACTGGGCTGGGCTTTTTCCTTTCTAATTTCCTCCCTGCATATCTTAGTAACTTCTTTGTAGTCTCCCCGAGTAGCCTGTCCCTTTTTCTAGAGAACTCTTTCTCCCAGAATCTCAACAAGAATTCCTGGTTCATCCACTCTGGCCTTCTCCCCCTGTGGCTCGCCTTACGGCATTCAGGGACAGCCTGCACTTGTGCCTTTAAGATTTCCATCTTAGCATGCAGGTGTCCTGGACCCCTAGACCCTTTAGGACACACGGGACCCCTGCAACAGGTGTCCTGAGTAGGTCAAAGTCCACCCTCTGGAAGTTCAAGATAACAGTTTTGCTAGCTACCCTTCTGACATCTTCAAGAATAGATGACTATAATTTTGTGGCCATTCTGCCCAAGACGGTCCCCAGCCTTCACATCTCCCACCAGTCCTTCACTGTTAGTGAAGAACAGGTCCAGCAGGGCACCACCCCTGGTAGGCTCTCCTACCAGCTGCATGAGGAAGCTATCTTCCACACACTCTAGAAACCTCTTGGACTGCTTCCTCTGCACTGTATTATATTTCCAACATATATCAGGGAAGTTGAAGTCTCCCGTGTGAACAAGTGCTGGCAGTCGTGAGCTTCTTATAGAATGCCTCATCCATCTCTTCATCCTGATTAGACGGTCTATAACAGCCCCCTATCAAGATGTCACCCCTACAGGCCTTCCCCTGATCCTTATCCATAGGCACTGAACTTTATCATTCCCAACCCCAAGCTCTTCATCATCAAAACACTATTTAATATAAAGAGCCACACCACCACCCTTCCTTCCTTGTTTATCCCTTCTGAAGAGCTTGTAGCCATCCATCAGAGCACTGCAGTCATGGAAGTGGTCCCACCACGTTTCAGTAATTGTCAGCTTTTTGTCACCCTTTTTTTTGCTTTAGATCCCTTCCCTGGTGCAGGCTTACCCTTCCTGGAGCCGGTCTGTTCAATAGGACAGGTCCTACCTGTCCATCAGTTTGATGTATCAAAGCAGCCAGGCAAATGATTGCAGTGAGAGGACCCATTTCTATGGAGGAAAAGCAGGCAAAGAAACAACAAAAATCTGTTAATCTGTGTTGTACAAAGTTTGTGGTGTTCTGTGGAATGTAAGCAGGATGAGAAAACATTTCAATATGAAGCATGGCATATAGGAGTTTATTTTAGTCATTACCAAATATGGTTGCATATGCTGAGTCTGCACAAATGAGTATATGATGACATGGACACCACTGTCCCATAGAGAGAAGACTTTGCCTTGTATTGAGACAGAGATCACCAGTACCAGAAAGCTGTGAGTTTCTTTTAAGAGAGAGATCAAACTCCTCATGATTTCTTTACTCAATATATCCCAAATCTGCATTATTTCTTTATTTTTTGCCTCCTTATATATAAAAAACAAAATTCATTAATGTGTACAGCAGGGTCTTGGGGGTGTTCTGCTCAAGAAAGCATCATCCGTACTGAAGGGTGGTATTTTGGAGTGGAACTTTGTTTCAGTGCATAAAGAGGTGCTTCTGTTTCTTTTCTGTTCCCTGTTTCTTTGTCAAGTCTACATCATAATCACACAATAAAATGAAGGTGTTCATTCCCATCTGAACAAATGCATTAACAAAATATTCAGATTGTGCACTTGGTTACTAGTTGAAAATACTCTTTGTAGAAGGAAATAGCACAGTATGTAAATAGTCTAAAGATCAGTCATATTCATGGAATATTTATTCTGCATGTCAGAAGGAAAGCAAATATTAAATATTTTTTCCTATAGATGACGGACAATAAATTATCTCTTTCTAAAGACTAAAGATGTGGTAAAATCCTGAATGAGACTGACTTTGACATAACAAACCTTAGAGCAGGTCTCTCAGAAAAAAATCCACAATGTGAGCATTACAGGCCATTGGTAGAGATCTAGCAAATCCTTGCTGCCAAGGAAACTATTGGGACAGCTGTTAAAACCATGAATATAGGATGACAATATAAAAAATCCACCATTCAATCTGTGCTAGGTGATAACTATAATAAATGTGTTGATGCTAGGTGAGCTAAAAAAGTGAAGAAAGGCTGCAGTGGGCTTTTAGTTCTGGTAAAAACTGAAAGACGTGTCCATATTTCAAAGAATTAATTGCAGGTTAATGGGTCCTGGAAAAACATTTAATTCTTTCAGTTAGTGGAACAAGTCATTCTAGTTCCTAGAATAACGACTTGGAAGAGATGGCATTTACAATGTTATTAATATCCTGTTTATTGTTTAATATCTGAAACTGTCTGAATTTGTGATGTGGTTTCCCTCTCATATATGCTGGGTGGATGTCATTGAAGGCAGTGGATTTACCTGCTATTTAGTCCTCCATGTGTGAGACTGATCTGCATATGCAATGTCAGAAATTTCTTTTTATTATAGGAATAATAATGAAGAATGATGACAGCAGTACAGAAAATATGTTAGTTTTCTTCCCAGATGCTTTGATAAAACTCTTGCTTTTATACATGGCACATCAAAATTCATCTTCAAGAGCAGCACTTAAGGTCTCTAATGAGGCACAAACAGGTCCATTTTTAATCCTTGTTTGCAGTTCAGTCTCTAAGCAAAATTCAGCCCTGGACAATGAGTCTGGGAAAGACTGCCTGGAATACTGGAATACATGAAGTCTTTCTTTGTGTGTGAGACCACTTCATGTTCATGTTTATATGACTATTCCACATCAGTTTAAAATATAGGAAAGACATTCCACTGGCACTGGACTGCACTCAATCAC